GTAGTTGATTCCATAAATCCCAGGCCTCTCAGCTTTTATGTTTCGGGCAACCTGACATCAGGAAACCTACTTTCATAATAACTCAAAAATTATGCCAAACCCATTTTTATCATATTCATGGAAAAAAATAAATTTTACTGATTTTTGGGACAAGCTATTTTCTTCACTTCGACTAAAATTCGAAAATTTCCTTCACCTAACCCGAATTTTGATAGTTGGTTCAATATTGAAATCATTCATGAATCTAATAGAGGCTGAACAAAAATCATGTTATTCCTTTCTGGCCTTGAAAATAACATAAAAACGTTTGCTCCATTGATGTTTGCGTTCGCTACAAATGACATTCTTCTACAAAAGGAATTACGCATCTGTGAACCAGTCAATTACATGAAAGATGTAACTCTCCTTCCGCCGTAGCAGAATTGCAGGAAGGAAAATTTGCCAAGTAATTTCGACAGAAATAGACCGTCGCGTCGTAAAAATCCAATGTTCGCAGTCCAGAAGGACGATTTTACGATATATTTTAGCGGCATTTACTACTCTGGGGTAGTACAAGTTGCATTGTGTAGTAAATGTATGTTATCAGTATAACAGCGTTGCCCCATACATACACACACACACTACACTCCCTGGTTCGATCTCCCCCAACGATTTGGCAAATGCTGGAATCAAGAAGTATGGACAAAGAGGAGTAAAGATCTGCAAAAATATTAACATTTTTGTTTTCATAATTGTCGTAAGGCAAAATATATTTACTTTCATCACTATTTAAGTCTAGAGTTTACTGTGAGATTTTCACTCTGAGAAAAAATGTGAATAATAAATAAATAATTCTATTTCACGAACAGCAATGCTTCTAACAATGAGACTGTTCTAAATCAGATTTTCCGTCAATCAGCTGTCGCTCCATTACAAACTGAAACCCTGAAAAGTTAAAACTTGTGACGAGCAAGGGATTAACGAAGTCTTAACTTTTAACGTGCAATTCTCAGCACGGGATGGACAAAAGGCAGTGAAAAATCAATCGTTCGGCCTCGTAGCTCAAATCACCGCTCCACCTGACGAATGAACAATCACATTGATATCACACAGCAAGCATGTATGGATAAGACCGAAACAAACACGTTTTATTCCCAGTTTTGAAATATAGACTTTGGAACCTCTTTTTAAAATATTGATTATAACTCATTGATAATTTCTTATTGCTTTTATTTTCGTACGTCCTTTCTGTGTAGGTAAATTGTATACACAGTCTGCCTGTTATCGTCGAAATGTTTTTTTTTCTTATTGGCAATCTACTTTTCTTAGTTTTTTGTTTCTCTTGTATTCGCCAATTCTGTATTTTCTTTGTTACTTATAAGGCCATTTGATTTTGGATGGTTTAATGCCACGGGCTACATTCGGAAATGTAAAATAGCAACCAAAAACAGAAAAATAATACGAATATTCATTAATACAATGGATTTAAAGAGGCCAAAAACATGCAACGAAACTTGCTTTGTATTACCCTGGTTGAAATATAGTTATAGAAAGACTAACATTGCAAGAGGTATCAACGAAATAAACGTATCAATATTAATGCACTCAGGGCCTTGATGAACCCAATAGTAATATCAAAAATGAATACCGTGAAGAAATGAAGAGACTCGGGAGCAGAAATTATTTGACTCTATATTGAGTTCAAGGACATTCAATAATCACAAGAAATAAAAATTCTAACCAGTGTGTTAGACACAGACCATCAGTTCCATATATGGGTATGGAATTGAAGACCTGGTGTAACAGAACAGCAATCAGGTTTGAATAATTACATAGCTATTACTGATGGTACACTGTACCATGTACCAGAATCCACATGAACGTAACAGGGCTTATTACGGAGACTTCATCTGCAGACAGTGCTAAAACAAAGCTAGTCATGTTCTGTGCCAATGCGAGTATCAAAAAAGGCAAGTACTTATTGAACAACGCAAATTATGTCCAGGAGAATATGAAAAAAGACAGGATCTGTGCAAACTAGATCAAGTAGTAAGATTTTTAGAATGTATAAGTCTGTAGATAAGCCCTTGAGGCCACGAAATCTTGGAAGAAGTGGAAAGTTAAAGACTCCCAAACAAGCAAAATATTCCTGAATCAGTGACTTTGTTTATATCGTATTGAAGACCTCAGCAATAAACTACCCATTTGCATCTTTGTTTTCAGACATTGCTTTGAACTTTGATGCTCTTTCGAAAGCCTATTTCGCACTTTCTCATTCAAAATTCGAATATGCATAAGTTTATATGAAACTTAAAAATCTATAAAACCACACATTTGTTTCTTGGCCATTCCAAATACACATAATGATAATATTAGAAGCTGCAATTATTCCCTCAATCTGGATCTCTTCAATCATCTGCCGGGTTACATGAAATACCTCCACTTGAAACCTTCTGTGCCATTGTTTTTGTCGTATTCGTGAGTTTCTTGTGACTTCTTTCAGAGATTCATGATTTCTATTTTCCCAGTGCTCAGGCCAACATTTTTTATGCTATGAATAATAATTGTATACCTTATATTTTTCCCATTTATCGTTTTCATTTCTGTATAATTCTCAATTTCAACTGTTCTACCATCAACCTATTCTAAACCATTTTATTTCAAAGGATGTGAAATTAATTCCATCTATTTGGAAATCTTCAATCTTCTTGAAGAATGCATTGATACTCGAAACTGCATTTATTAAAAGGTATATCTTGAAATGATATTTTTGTCGTAGCTCCCTATTACGATAAAACAACCGAACGATTGAAGTGGTGATTTATTTATTGCAAATCGTCATTTCTTATATTTCCTAAAATACCCCATCCTCTTTTCCATACTTCTTGAATAATTCCCATCCGGCACAGTGGACATCCATCTCGCTTGGTGTCACATCCCTCTCCCAGTCAAAAAGACCGTATCTTATCACGGCTTGAAACCCTAATCCTTCCCGACTAAAATATGATTAATACGCGTTGTAACCCTCGATTTCAGAAGGCGATTTCTATCAGCAAACTAGCTCGGGGGTTAACCGCCGTTATATTTATAAATTTTATTCCGATCTCGGTAGCTGATAAAGACATTCTAGATTATTGGTTGTTAAGTAATTGAGGCATTGATAAGAAACCAAAAAGTAGCGATATTGTTGAATTTGATTTGTTTCCGAACAATAATTAGTTTCGAGATTTGAATTATTCCATTGCCTACACTCGTCTATTTTAATTTATAGTTGAAGTGGATCGTTGTGAACTAATGAATATATTATAAGCTAATTAAAAAATGTTGAGCATTATAAAAGAAACTACCTACTGAATGAATAATTATTTCAGCAGAGTTTAGATATAAACTAATTAAAAATTTGAAACATTAAACTCATTGAATAGACTGTAAACTAATTACCAATTTTCACATTAGAAAAAACAGTCAACTAAGGGGAATAACATAATTTTATCAGGTCATCCAGTAAATTTTCTTAATTAACGAATCGTATCAACTTCCAGGCAAATTGAAAGTTGTTATGACCAAAAATTCCAGTCACAATCTGTTTTTGATTACAGGTTTTGGTAACTGTAGGTATTATGGAAATCTCAAATATAGACATTTTATGAATTCAAATTTCATATATGTGAATCGTATATTTTAGTCATGTATATTGTTGCTACAAGTTACATATTGTACCAAGCTTCCTATAGTTTATATAATTTTTGGCCATGAGTGGATCCCAATTTATTTACATTGAATCTCTCTTGCTTCAAAACCATCCTGTTCGGTGGTGGACGGCCTCACATGTCATTACTGCTTGAAATATCAATTCATCAGTCAACTTGCGCTTCAATTGTTTGATTATCAAAGTTGCCGCTGCTAGAAGTTTGGATAAATGATTTATTTGTCATATATGTGTCAACAAATTCGAAACATAAAGTTTAAATGAATTAGTGATTGAAAATAATTAGTAGTGGTATTATTGAGTTCAAACTCAGATTTTTACACATTACTCACATTTCTGTCGTATAGTTTCAGTGAAACACCGCGTGCATAACCAATTGCACATGCATGTTCAGTTTTCATACAAATTCAACATAAATGATAGAAAGCACAGGGCCTACAACTGAACCTTGAGGGACTACGATGTCTAACAGGCCTTCTTACAGGTCCTGTCATTTGAATCATCACTTGAACTGTCGGAAGACAGTGTGTGTCGCCTCTGTCTGGAAAATACAAAAACAACCTTGGCTGTTGCTCTTCGAAACCGCCGATAATACGTGGCGCGTTCTAAAAATATGTTCCAGAACAAATTTCCATATCGTAAAGGTCGACCGTTCAAGTTCCAACAACCAATCTAATACCTATTTCCGAACACTAGTTCAATATTTACAATGCCGAGACGCCTACATACAAACTGTTACTTACAGATGTCGTTTCACATTATAACATTCGACTAGTTTCAATGCCCATCCTTCAGTAAGAAATTATTTATTTTACTAAAATTATTCTCAATTTGCTGTTCAATATTAGTTCATTGAAACAATTGTTTTTTTAGTGACCTGTTTATTGAGTCTACTAATTTTTTCCTCAATTTTGCCTTTCCCAATTCTAACAGACTTTTTGAATAGCGTGTTTCATTGAGTAGTGTCATTTTTTACTTGTGAATTTTAATAGAGTTTTACATCCCTAACCTCGAATTTATTGAATATAAATAAGGAATAATTAATATTGAATACAGTCTGTCACTATAAAAAGAAATCGGTATCAAAGTTCTGAAATTTCTACACTTTTCAATCAGTGTGAAAGCAGCCACGAGTTCTAGCCATGGATTTGTCGATGCGAAGCGGGAGATCCAATAATCAGCGGCTCCCAAAATACGGAACAAATACGTCGCCGAGGTTGATTAAAATGCAAGAGAAAAAACTCGGGCACACCTTACAGAACGCTGCATTGCTTGATTAACATTTGTTTTAATGCAGTGTGTTTTTTTCCAGATTAGCCCGCATTGTGCAACATCATCAAAGACGACGGTAAGTTATTAATTATTATTAAAGATTCAATGCGAGATTGATGAAATGTGCAAAGAACCCATAACTGCAAAAATATTGAGGTTGTGAAAGAGTTTCTCCATATCATCAACAAAATGGCATTATTTTTCTGAATTGTACCCTGAATTATTCATATCTTAGAGCATTTACCAAAACCAAAGTGAAGAATGCCAAATCGTGACTTCTTGTGTTAGATTTCAGTTCATCTTCAAGAAAAATGAAATGTTCAGTGATCACACTGTTTAAGTCAAAATACTATTGATGCATCAACAATACAAACCATTACATGCAATTTGTCGTTGTACTCTCAATTGGTAATAGCTTTTCTATACAAAAACTTTTCATACAAAATTTTACTGCAGCTGCTCGAAAAACAAAAGAAATATACAGGTTTTCAATTGAATTACCACATAGTTATGATCTCACTACGAATATGATTCAGTAATTAATGAACAATATATCTAGGCTTTACGAGGACAAGGTCAATATTAGATAAAAATATAATGATCATATGTTTGTTGATTCAGTACCAGGGACGAGTTGGTTCCGCTAAACTTTTTGTTCTTTTCACATCATTCACGACCATTATTTTTTCATTTGGTATTATGTACAATTTTCATCCATTTTTTTTTTGGTTCAGTGTCGATTTCATTATCAGTGAACGTAAACTGTTAATGCCACAGTTCTTGGTATAGGAAGATAATTCATCATATACATAAAATTTTGTTCAGAGTTCACTACCAGGAGTTTGAACGCTCATTGAACACCACAAAAACATTCAGTAATTTAAATTAATGTATCGTTATGCATCAATGATCTCAAGTTCAAGTAGGTATAATGAAAATAAAACACAATTATAGTCGCATCTATTGGTATATTTAACAAATTCTTGGGGTAGTTCAAAATTAAACACGCCTGAAGAGGCTTCTATAAAGTGATAACTTGTTTTGATGCGAAAGCAAAACTATTTTGTTAATTGTGATTTTCAACAAACTGAATGTGCAAGTAACTGTGCAAGTGGCAATTCATAATTAACATGTGTATTTCTATTTTAACATAACTAAGTTAGGGCCCTTTTCATCTTCTTCAGCTTTGATCAACATATTTTTCACTGTTTGTACTGAACGTTAGGCCAAACCGTTAGATTGAGCATGGTGAGGGCTGTAACAATGTGACACAAATATTCTGAACTCTCACTTGTGTTTGGTATCAAATTCTTCATCTTCACATCCTACCGACTGCGCCATGCCATTTCATCAACTTTCAGAAGGTTCTTTTCCAATCAGTGTAGACTTCATCTAGTCGCTTGTTACTCGCTTTGAACGCAAACAGAAAAGATCCATAGATTTGATTCTGTAGTTTTATCATGCAGAACATTCAGCTGTTTTCTCCTGGTGACAAGCGGCATATTGAAGTGAATTGAAATATGATTTGCACATAGTCCATGCGATTGACATCAAGATTTTTTCAGCGAGTTATTTTCAAATACCTGCCGTCGAACTTGAAACAAGTTTTATGTGGCTTGAGGAGATATCAACATAACATACCCAAAACATGCCCATTGCAGTCGATGCCGATAACACAAACAAAAAATCTATTTCATTCACTGACTGACTGTAGAAAACAAATTTTCCATAACGGAATCAACATCGAAGATATCGCGGTGAAAAATATGCTTTCGACATGCGACAAATTATTCGGCGACCTTACCATTACATTCGCTACGGTGTTTTCGAGACGACATCTCTGTCAATCCCACATTCTCGTCTTTATGTAATATTAATTCTATGTGCTTGGCGGATTAGAATTTCGGAATGTTATAATGAGGTTCTGTCCTAAAAGCAAAGACGTATGGTGTATGTATGTGTTAGATTGAATGTTACTATCTACGCGGTGCGTGATAAATTTTTTATGGCAAAGAGCTGTTTTTTTAATATAAACATCAGCTAATGTGAAGGATTGAGTCTATAAATGTCCTTACGTTGAATCCAGATTTGACTGTTAAGCGTGGATTTTCCCTGGTCATCGCCAGATATTTTTTCGGCGTCAGCTTCCCAGAGTCGCCCAAGGTGATCCTTTGATTCCATCCCATATCTTTAGGGATTGAGCATGGGTGTAACATTTGGTAGTTCCGCAATTGTCGAAGTCCTCAGGCCGTAGGGGCCAATGGGTCCTAAATTTCGTAGTCCAGCCGCGTCCTTGGCTAAAGAGTCGAGTCGGCAATGCGATTAGCTTTACTCCTGTCGTGTCCTTTAACTCACCTCAGGATAATGTTATTATGTACCGAGGCTTTGGCTAAATCTTGGTGACACTCTAGTACTAGCCCTGAGGTTTTTGGCTCGTTACTCTCCAACCTACTTCGTAGACACATCATAGTTTTTGTAAATTTCATTAGTTCTTACTTCCATTGTCTAATTTTATATAAAATGATTTGAAATCCCTAAAAGAACTAATACAAATGAAAAAATTAAAACGAATAGCTGAAAATAGCAATTATACCAAGCAAAAAAACCCTGAAACGAAATTACAGTGAAATAAAATACGAGTAAAAAAATAGAACCATTAAACAAAAAATAAAAAATAAAAATTTATCTTCGGATAATAACTGTCATTACTGTAATTCAATTTCAGAATTGTTTTGCTTAATATAATTGTTGAATGTTACTGGAGTTTTTTTCCCAACACCAAACCGTTATTTTAACACCTCGACACGTGTTTCGATCACCAAGTGATCATCTTCAAGAGGAAGATCAAACTGAGTTTGATCGGTTTGGTGTTGGGAAAAAACTCCAGTAACATTAATTACTCCACCAAAGGTTTCAAACAGTAAGTACATCACAAGAATATAATTGTTATTTTTAGCTATACTTTTTAATTTTTTCATTTGTATTGGTTTTTGTAATAAGAGTTCTCACCTCTAAAACTACTACAACACTTTCAAATTCCTTATACGGTTTCGATATGTTTTCAAGAAATTTGGTGAAATAATGACCAATATAACTAATCATCTGCATCTTAACAGGTTTTATACATAACGGCAGACAGCAGTTAACTAGTTGATAGTTGAAATTGACATAAAATATTAAGTTTTCCGATGGCGTTCAAATAATGAACAATAATGTTGTAAAATAAAATTCTTTCCAGCTGTAAATTAAAACAAAACAACAGGTCTTTGTAATAATAATGATAATAAACAGCTTTATTTCAGAGAAGATTACAAACTTTTATTGAAATTGAAATTGCGTCAAACAAGGAGGTACAGAATTTTTTGTTATGAATATTTTTAAAAGAATGTTCCAGTGAGATATGCCTTCAAATCATAGGGCTCTATGAGAAGTTTTTTTAGTTCTCTTTTGAAAACACTAATTTTCTCAGTTCGTTTTAATCTGTTAGGAAGATGGTTGAAAAGCTTGATTGACATATAGTGGGCCCTTTTTTCAGTTACTGTTAGTCTATGGATGGGATACATATATTCATTTGTTCTAGTAGGATACTTATGAGCAGGTATATTCTCAGTGAAGAGGTGTGAATTTTTATAAATGAACATTAGGCATTCATAGATATAAATCGCGTAAATTGTCATTATATTGGTCGATTTGAATACTATTTCGATTGCTACCCCAAAAAATAATTCCGTACCGAACAACCGATTCGAAGTTAGCCGTGTATATTGTTTTTGTAGCCTCGTTGTGCAGATATTTTGATGTAACTCCATACGATATTCCATATAGATATAGTTTGTTTGCGAGGTTATCAATATGAGAAGTCCAATTCATGTTCTGGTCAATGTGGATTCCTTAAAATTTCGTGTTGTGGGACAGTTCAAGTTAAGAGTTTTGGAGATCCACCTTAACTGGATAATCAATGTTGTCTAGGTTTGTTCTAAACAAAATAATATGAGTCTTCGTTTCATTTAGTACATGTTTTTTTTTTATTGAACCAGTCCTTATTTGTTGAATAGATCTATACTATTCAACATCATCTCTGGGAAGGTTTCACCACCTGATAACAGACTTGTGTCATCTGCGAAGATACTTTTGAACTGATGTTGGTTTAGGTTTAGATTACATAAGCCGTTCAAATAAATGACGAACAAAAGAGGGCCGGCAATGCTCCCCTGTGGAATTCCCACGTCTGTGGAAAGGGTTTCGGATTTATAGACTCTTCCATGTCGCTTTATTTCTACAGATTGTAGGCCATCTGATAGGTAGGATTCAACCCACTTTAGCGCTAAACCTCTTATTCCATATTTTTCTAATTTTATTAATATCAGTTGATGATTCAAGCAGTCATATGCTTTGGATAGGTCCAAAAAAATCCCGAGAGCTTTCAGTTTTTCTTCCATCAGGTTAGTTATTTTGTGGGATTTGATATATGGCCGTTTGTGTTGATCTACCCTGTAAGTATCCAATATTATATTCTAGAGAAATATAATTATACACATGTTCAAATTTCTGGTGAAGTAAAATTAATCTCTCACATGCTTTCATAACATAGTTCCGACCTTGATGAAAGTTTGGAACAGAATCAATATTCGAACAACAACAAATACAATTTTTCACAGAGCAATCCACATTTATTTAGTCTAGCCCAGTAACCAAGTTCTGCCAATGAAACAACTTTCTGCTATCTGAAGTTTCCATATCAGCGTGGCCACATTTCAGTTTAATTGTTATTGTTTACGAACGTTTCGTGCCAATAAGTTTGTTTTCGACGAAACTACATTAACAAAATTAGATACGTACTTGCTCCATGCAGGTGTTACTCAATCTATTTCAGTCGCAGAGAACATACTTAGCGATTTATTATCCCGTGAGATGTGGTTTCGTCACGTTGTCGTTGTCAAAAGCTTCTCAAAACGTTATTTATGGCTTACGAAAGAGCAACAAAAAAAAATTTCAAACATCACCGTGAACATTCAATTCAATTTAAATTACAAGTAGTTGCGCAAGCATACTTCAGATGTGATCTTGAATACTACA